AACATTCTCACATGGTCTTATACATTGTCATCTGTATTCAAGTATGTCAAATGTAATGTAACATGATACTGAGCACTGCAAAAAAGTTATTGAAAATAATGACTGAAAAAAAGCATGCAATGTTTAAACTGATGAAAAGTTATAAACCCTTTTTCAACTACATATGGACTGAAGCAAATGTAACCTACAGAACTATTTTAATGTGATAAACCGAATGAGCAATTAGCATCAGAAACTACTGAGGCTCATGCAATTTCTTAATGTTTTTTTTTTTTATATTTGTGGATCTTCCCAATAAAAAGATAACTTTCTTCTGTAAAGATAGCATGTGCCTGACTGTGAAGTAGTTCTCACAGTTACCACAAGTCTGTATTGACCAGCTGCTACCAAAATACTCCCCCCAGGAAGAGATCTTTTCTTCCAACCCCTGGTTGATTGGTGCCAAGCAACAGTTAGCCCCAGAAATGAATATGTAATTTGTGCATCTCTGAGAAAGTCAGTCAGCTTAATCTCTGGGACACAAAATTTGACCGTCCCCAAATTGTATGACTGCAAAGTAATTCCAATGGTGTTTATGCTTGACAACTTTAAAATCAATCCATAAATGGAGATATGAAATATTACTTCCATTATTCTGCACACATGTGTTGCTGTGAGGTCATAAGCCATTAACACACATTTAAAAATTTAATTTCAATGAAAACTTGAAAATGAGTATGAAGACCTGCGTGAATGTACCCTTATTCCTCATTTTTTTAAATGGGGAATTTCTTTTAGAAATTCAAGATTTTCTAAAAGAAGGGGGGGGGGTGAAACAGGTAAATGAGGCAACAGTCCTAATCACACATCCAAAAAGAGAAAGAGGAAGCCATGAGAAGAAACTGGAGGAAGAAAGTGAAATTGAGTAAAAATAACTTAAGAACAGTGTAGAGTCCAGGAGATCTGTGTCATGGGAACAACGAGAGGCTTCTGCCATGCAACTGAGCATCTGGAAGAACACAGTCTCTGATTTCTCCTCTTTCTGCTTTTTCCCTTTCAAAGACCACTTGAAAGACTTTCTGTGGTATTGAGCAGGTGGGGGTATGTGTAGAGAAGGGCTAAGGCTGAGAATGGGCAGGCCTGGGTAAAGCAGCTCCCACTTTCTCTATCCAGTGAACAGAAGTGGAAGACCCAGAGGTCCAAAGGCCCAGTGGCCCAAAGCTGCAGCCAAGTATCTCTGAGGAGCCTTCAGCAGGGAAGAAGGGAAAACTGAAGGCATATGGCTAGGTAACTACAATAAAAGCAAGCCTTAAAACCAGGCTAAGCTCTACCCCTACTTGGAAAATGTTGAACAGTAACATCTTTGAAGAGATATAACCATGACCTTTTTTTGTTTTTTACCAAAACTGTAAAGTATCTACCAATATATTTTTCTGTAAATCCATTGGAAATTTTTCTTTTTTAATTGAGTTTTCATGCACAACTTAAACGTCATATTGTAATAAATCATTATTTATAATAATGTCCAACACCTAAATGCTTCACTTTTTTTATTTTAAAAAAGAAAGACCAGACATAGATTCTGATACTTTAACTTTAGTCTTGTATGATGCTTTTTCTAGCACAAAGAACAGTTTGAAACAATTTAATCCAAGTAGGTTGCTGCAGCAAACTTCTGCTGCAACCAAGATTTTTTTAACATAATTGATGGAAACAGTAGGTAGTCTTTGAAAGCTTGGCCTTTTGGGGAAACTTCAAACAGTATCAATTGTAAGAAATTGGCTCAGCTGAATGCAGTCTATTCCCTATCAATAAAGTATTCAGCCCCAATAGCTTGGAGAATAAGGGAGAGATGAGCCAAGGAGATCCCCAGAAGAATTCCTAAATCTAATACATAGTGAATGCTCCAATAAATTAAATAACTTCAAATGATCGAAGGGATGGTATTCCAATCAAACACAGCATGAAACTGCAGAAGGCGGCACATTCTCAGTGGAAAACATTTAGAGGTGTTTTTCAAGCCTTCATTGAAAACAGTGAACAGAAATGTCACAGTATGAGAACCTTTAGGTGTTTTATCTTCAACCGTCTACAGCCCTGGAAATACACAATATTTTACTGAATCAAAATATGCAGTAAAACACAAAAGTAGGTAATATTAGAGACACATGGAGAGACAAAGAATAGTGTTAGTAATTTGAATCAGGATACCAACTGGTATTGTATCCTGTGTCCTGTTCCCCCATATAATATAAATTTAACTGATTTTTTTTTTTTTTGGCATCATGCCAACTAGGGAAATTAAAGTCAGCTCATTCGGCTTCAGTGTGCTGTGCAGGTCTAGGTAAACCCATATGTATTTGTACTGCTTCAACATGTTCACTTTGTCACTTATAAATGGTGTGTGAAATATTCCTCACAAAGTAGCCTGCTTCATTCATACGGATGACAAGTTTGTTAAAAATTGTCTTCCAAACTAACCACAAGACAATAAGCAAACAAAAATCTAATTTTTTAGTTTATGTTGCTGAAGCTCATTTGTTTAGACAACAGACATTTGTGCAGGTTTTATTTACCCCAGGTAGCCAGAGTACAACAAAGCTTGGCCAAAATAATATTGCAACAGAGAAAATTCAGAAAAAAAGAGACCTAACTTGATCAGTTGGTCACTAATTCAATAATAATTGAGGAAAATAATGAAATAAACCAAGAATAATTAGGTAATGTTTTACCTGAATGTAAACTCCTTTTGTCTTCAGTCCTTCAACAAATGAAAATATTTTAATATTGAACAAGTCTAAGATTTTTTTAAAAGCTCAAACTTTATAATGCTCAACCAGAGGCTGTTAATTCTCTTGCTAACCTTCTTGACAAACTGTATGACACAGGACTAATATTGCATTTTAATATGACTGGGAACTGTTTACAACAGATAAACCGCTTGACTTTTCTAAAGTTTAAACTCCAAAATGCAGTAGCAAACTGTAGAACATTTAGACTTTAAGAGCTTCTAAACCCAAAATAAACTTCTCTTTTTTTGCAGATAAGTTGTATAAAACCATTTCATTCAGTCAAGTCCCTATGGTGCATCAGAAGTTGGAATTGCATACATGGATCACTAGATTTCAGCTTTGCACATGGGTGATTCATTGCATCATGAACACCGACTGTCATGTGTCTCCTCTGCTTTGACTGTAGAATGACTGAGAGACTGACAAAAATGCATAGGAAGTGACGGGGACTCATGGCAGCATTTGCTTCTTGCTCAGCACAGTTACTGAGGAGCTATAGATGTTTCACATCTATAGCTATAGAGGAGCTATAGATGCCAAAGCCTCCAATAACAAAAAAGTAATCAAAGTAGAAAATATGGCTTATTTCGTTGCTTTGTACATGTGACAGTGCAATGACAATAAAGTTGAATTATATTCTACTCTATTATTGTTAAAAAAAAAAGAAAAAAATAAGATTTCTTCTGCTCTTTTGAAATGCTACTTATCTTACACTACTTACTACTTAACAAGAATTGTGCAGTTGGTGAATTTTGCATAATTTATTTATTTTTGTCATTGGAGGTGAATATATTATAAAATTGACATTCAACACAAAAGTAAAAATCTGATTTATACATTGTGGCAGTTTGTTACCAGCAAAAAAAACCATAATCTCTTAGCACCAAATTAATTACTGGTTGTAAAATATAAGCTCTTTTGAAATACTGTTTATCTGACACAAGAAATTTACAGTGAGTAAATTTTGCAAAAGTAAAAATCAGATATTTACTTCGTGGCACTTGGTTACCAGAAAATGCTATCATCTCTTAGAAACAGATTAACAACAAATATTGTTATTTTTTAAAAAAACATAAAATTTCTTCTGCTTTTTTTAAAATAGTTCTTGTCTTAAACTACTAAAGAAGAATTGTGCAGTTGGTGAATTTAGCAGAAAAGGTTTTTTTTGTTTGATGTTTTTTTTTATTTTTTTTTTTATGTCATTGGTGTTGATTATAAACCCCAGATTCACCACAAATGTAAAAATCTGATTTATACTTCGCTGCAGTTCGTTACTAAAAAAGAAACAACGCTTATTTGTTTTTATTTGTTGTTCTCTTTACACCAAGTGAATAAGTAATATTATTGTTTATAAAACATAAGCTCTTTTGACAGACTACTTATCTGCTTAAACATATGAAACATACGGTTGGTAAATTTATCAAAAGTAAAAATCAGATCTTTACTTCATGGAACATCGTTTGCCAGAAAAATGCGCTCATCACTTAGCAACAGATTAACAACAAATGTTGTTGCTGAGAAAACCCCCATGATATTTTCTGCTGTTTTGAAATGCAACTTATTCTACTTAGCAGGAATTTTGCAATTGGTAAATTTAGCAGAAAAGTGAAAATATGTATATATATTTTTCTTTTGTCATTGGTGGTAAATATATTATAAAACAGACATTCAACAAATATACTTTTCTGTAGTAAGTGTTTCGCCAAGGTGGCATCTCTGTTGGAACTGAGATTTCCGCCATTTCTGTAGTTCTAACTGCCTTCCTCTGTTGGAACTGAGTGTTCCGCCATTTCTGTAGTTCTAACTGCCTTCCTCAGCTCTGTTGCTATGGTAATTAATCCTCTCTGAAAACTGTCATGTGGGAGTGAGACACAGAGGGGGAGACTAAATTCTATCTCAGTGTCAGAATCTGTTTTAATTTGAATTTGGCTTGTTTTGTCATTTTGTTTTTTTCGCTAATTACGTCACCATGGTTACTCGAAATGCTAACAGAAGTAATAGTTCCAGCCACTTTTTGATAGTGGGAGTATGGACAGTGAAAGGAAGCGGCAGTACATTTTTAGGCTTAAGATTAATAGGTACCTTGCATGCATTGCAAGAAGTCATTGAAATGCCTTGCTTTGTGAGGCATGTCAATGCTCTCCTATGCTCTACTGTGGTAGGCCCTAATTATAATTATAATAGCCCTCTATCCCATACCACTTATAATAAACACGATTTTGTACTCACAACACCTCCAAAGGGGAAAAACACTGCTGCAGGCCTTTTTGGAGAAAACATTGAGAGCGTTGAAATTTCCCATACACAATGAGTGCGCTGAAAGTCACCAACGGAAAACACCGAGAGCGCTCGGAAAACATTGAGTGCGTTGAAGTTGCCAGCTAGTTTAGCTTAGCTCAGCTTCATGTATCATAGATCTCCTCTCTCTTCTGTCCCGGCCGCCCCCAAGCTGCTCCAACGTTTTCCGAGCGTCATACTCCCCAGTCGCCTTTTTTCGCGAGCAATCTACGCAAAAACTTCTTCCTTCTCCCTGTATCCAATGGTGACGCACGTTTTGTTGTTTCGCTAATTACGTCACGCATCTCACAATCAATCCCCACCAGCGCCCTATCAGGTCGAATTGGTAACCAATCGTATGTCTATGGCAAGCCATTGTAACATAAATTTGGTTTTGTCTGACTATAAATAATAATATTATCTAAAAATTAATTTTGACTTGACAAAGCTACATTTTGACTATCTGGAATGGTAATTTATGATATGTACATTTACATTCTGACTAGTAAGTATAATAATGTAGTCACTTTGACTAGTCAGAATGTAAATAGAGATAGGCCTATCTCAAATAGGTACTTTGTCTAGTCAAAATATAATTAGAGCTATCTTAAATCACTAAAACGTCCAGTCATAAAACTATTTGCGATATCTGGAATGTAAGGGTGGCAAAACCGAATTTATGTTAATATGGATTGAATGACTAATACAATAAGTGTAGGCTACGTCACACCAACGTTGATATTTAAATGAGATAATAACGCTGTTTTAACAATTAATACAAAAACCAAATTAATTAATAAGTAACCACCTTTACTGTATATTAAATTTTTTAAAAGTTTCTTAACCACCTTTATTCTACATTAAATATAAAAAAGTTATGACATAATATGCAATCTATAGCTGTCACAAATTCCATTTGCCTTTTGATATATTTGTGTTATGACTTGATCTAAGAATTTCTCTGACCTTAAGATCCATATGCACATCACAATGACCCACAGTTGTCCCACAATGATCTATTTCAGCATTAATTTATTCAATTCCAATCCATCTATTCAAGTTGCATGGAAGTTAGTGCCCAAGTAATGGGCAAGTGGCCTGGTTATGAGTCTAGCACAGGGTCTACATAATGACACAAATAGCAGACAAATATGCAGAACTACAAATTAACCCAACTTGCATGTTTAGGAGAAGAAACTGGACTAGGTAAAAATATGCAAATTTCACATTGTGTCCCATGCTTTATCTATTTCGAGTGTTTTATTTTTTTTTTAGGCTGAACAGTAGCTCAGCTGATATCACTGTTACCTTGAAGGAAGAAGGTCCAAATCACATCCTGAGGTCTTCCTACATGGAGTGTCCATGCTATCCATGTGGAGGTTAGGTACTCCGGTTTTGTCCCACAATCTAAATCAATCTGTGTGACTGTTAGATTTAGAGGACTCACTAAACTTTGCCTTTGGTGTGTGCATGCATTGCAGTTTGTCTTGTCTTTCTCTATGTTGCCCTGTGATGGACTGGAAACCTGTCCTGGTTGTACCTTACCTCTTGCCAGATTGCTGCTGTAAATAGGCACCCACACTCCCCACAGTCATGGAAGGACAAGTCCATGTTCTAATGGAAGGATGGAGGGAAATATTTTGTATTTTTTATTTAGAAAATTGCGTAAATTTAGTAACTGGATTTTCTCCAGTGCAAGATTGCTGTCATTTCCTAACAGATGCACTATTTCAAGAATAAGTCTGATTAATTTTTGAAAGGAGAGCTTGTTGATTCAGCTAATGCATCAAACCCTCTGTTTGGTACAGCTCTTTATACATATTGATTTTTAGATTATTTTTGAAAGAAAATGTTTTTTCTGTCTAAAGACAAAAGAATTGCATCTCAATATAAACGTCAGGCTTGTTGAACAATCATGTTTAGCTGTCCATTTATTGCTGAGTTTAATCTATAAAATATAATACATACAAAAGATGAAAAAGAAATAATATTCAAATTCATAAATAAACTGTTTGGACTTCAGGACAATCTCTTCAAGAGAATGAGAATTATAATGTATAGATCAATTGATCTATACATTATAATTCCATATCAATCACACCTTCAGCCTTTACAGACTTTTCTTCCTGAAAGTCTCTGTTGTGACACAATCATTACAAATTGATTGCAAAATAGCTGACAATTGTGATTAAATAATTAAATTCTTGTCTATGCTTCAGAGAATCGGGAGAAAATTAACTTCCCAGCAACCTCATTTTTTTTTCTGAACACGAAATAATGATTTTCTGCCAGTCTAATTACAAAGCCAACATCTGATCAAGCCTACATCCAGAGGGGATTATCACATGCACTGGTATTAGACCTCATTACCAGCCTGAGTGCAGAATTATTACATCTTGTAATTGGATGGTGAGATTTATATACAGATCAGACTGGTTTCTTTAGGATTGTAATTACAGGCTTCGCTGGTTAGCTACTTATCACTCAGGAGTGGAGTGCAAGAAATCAGCATGTGGAAGAGCATTTCATTAACCTCTCGCCCTGATGGAGTGGGTAACACTATACCTAACATGTCTGTTTTAGGAACAACAGCATAATTTGCTCATCAAACAATTTATCACACCCTGCTTTGGTCAATGCCAGATAAAAGACTTCACACTGAGATCAGCTCTTGAATAAACAATTACAGGAAATATGTCTCCATAAACTATCATTTTTTACTGTTGACTAGGCCTTATTTTCTAATTACCCAAGATAAGTGTTAGTCCTTGCCCTCAGTAGCAGCTTCATAAAGCGCACAGTCTGAATTAGCACCTAGGGTTAACAGAACAAAACCTGCATCCTGAGAGGAGTGAGGAGTATCAGGATATTCATGGATCTTTAGACATGTCTGTGCTTTCTACAACCCATGTACTTTGCTAATGAACACACATTCTTTTTTCTATTAATTTCTTTTTGTCAACAGAATGTTCTAGCTGTCATCAGATCATCTAAATAATTGAAAATAATATATTTTTTAAAAGAAAAAACTGAATGAATAGAGGCGTGGGCACCTTACTCTCTCTGACACCAATCTTCCAAATACCATTTTTGAGACTTGCATGTTGCTGTTCATTGCATGAGCAAAATACTTAAAGGACATCTTCAAACCATACCACTTCTAGTCAGTGAGTTGATGCAATCTGCTGGGTTTCCTCAGAGAGAACAATTTTTTAACAATTTGTAATGTGTATACTTACTTGGAATGTGTTTGTATTATTCAGCAACACATTGTTTCAAATTCCTTGAAACAATGTGCTGTGGGTTGACTGCATATAAATAAACTAAATTTAATTGAATTCAATTTAAACAGTTGCTTTGGTTGCAAACATATTATTTATTGTGCACCACAGTAATTCTTCTGTGACTGTATCAAAGCCTACCACTTTTTCACTTTTCAATGAATTGAAAGTGAATGTAGGGCAAAGAAATTGAAAAATGACAGAGGGGGGAAATATGAGGAAAAATGTGTTGACCTGATGGAACGCAGCTCATTTGCTGACACAACCAGAACAAAAACAAAAGCATCAGCATCTCTTCACAGTTAACACCCATACAACTCACTTTCTTATTGCATATCACAAAGTCCACCTCTGTAACAATCAATACAGACCTACATTTTATGAGACAAGGAGTTAACATGTTCAATTACGCCACAGACAGCTCTATTCTTTTGTAACAAGTAATCCGGGTGGTGAAATCAATACTGACAGGCTCACGGCACGCTAGCTAATTTCATATTACCTCCAACCAATAGCAAGGCAGTTCGTAATGGAGCTGTAGTTCCACTTCATTATAAGAATAGAGGTGGGGGGGATCAATACTACCGTAAATGCACACATGCTCACGTTAACACACTCATATAAACACACAAGCAAAACACTAAGTCAAACACACACAGACAAAAAGGCCACTCTGCTACATCAGAGTCCCCAAGGGGCTTCACAGAGCTGTCTGATGCTGGGCAGATGGGCTGGATGGAGAATGAGTGTGTCGGGTCGTAACCCCTCCCAAAATAAATGACATTTCAAAGTTTCGGCACACAAACACTTGCAATGACATGTCTTGCCCGTTTATTTTTTCATTTTCATTGTTAAACAGTTTCAAGGAAAATGCCGCCTTTTTTGTTTTCAACTATAAACGTACATATGAATACATATTAAGAAAGTCAACACTTATCTTTTTTCTCAGGAAGGTCATAGTCTCCAAAAGAAAAAGAGAGAAATTGCATGTTAAGCTTCAGAGATCAGTCTTTTCACAGATTATCTGTCTCATATTACACTGTCTATTTTTTTCAAAGTTTCAAACATTAGCATTTACAATAAATAATAATAAAAAAAAACAGTTGAGATCACCATAAGCAATAAAAGCAAGTAAAAGTTCTACATGTAGAGTGTCACCAAGTGCAGATGAAGCAGTATGAATATTGCAAGTAACAAGACTAAATACTCTGAGGACTTAACTCTAACATTCTCTTTTTCATAAGTTCTTGTTATCCACTTTGGATTATTGCACTCATTAATAACCTTCTGTAGGTTGTGCTTCAAACTGTGTGACAGCAAGCATCATTTAGCTTCAATAAAGGCCAGCCTCACAACAATTGACTATATAAGAACACCTCATAAAAGTGCTATGCAAAGATTAAAAGTGTTTAAATACATTTCACTCTAAATACTTCTTAATTTACCGTATGGCTCTCTGTCAATTTCCTTGCAAATATTCCATAAGGAATTTCTGTAATCAAATACTCAGGTTTATCAGTTTGACAGAGACAGTTCTCAAAAGCATAACAAATGCGACATGAACAAGCCTGATAGCAACTGAAGAAACTTAAAATATGTAATACGCATGTGTAACAATAATTAGCTGCAATGACTTATTAATGTATGATGTTTTGTTGGATGTTTTACTGGACTACTGTTTTGTAGTGGATCTATTATAGGTTAATTAAAACCAGAGACATTCTGGGGGTTCTTGCTATTCTTTGTTTGGAACAAATTTTAATGTCAACTCAGTTCAGATCAATTTAGTTAATTAATTTAAGAATTGATTCACAAAAAAATGTTATCTCAAAGACAAGCAAATCCAATTCGCATACAGAAATATAGAATCAAATTATTACTGAGACCAGTCACATCAACAGATTCACACTACACATTTCCCAGTGTGATCAGTTATTATAACACAATCTAGTCAATGTTTTTTGCCCACACTGACAACAAATATTTTGAGGAAGCCCAGCT